ATGGGTTTCGTGCTGTCACACTTGAGGGGTAACTGAGACTTTCAAGTGGCTGATCTGACTTAATCTTTCAAAAATGTGTCCAAATTGCAGGAGCAAGGAAAACCCCGTCCGTCCCTGCCCTCTCACCAAATGGAGCTGTTCGCCGGGGAGATTCTTCAGAGCAACGCCTGCATACCAGAGGTAATAACCTCCAATACCTTAAGTCAAAAAGCCAAGTAAAACTCACTAGGTAATGCATTTGGGATTAAGTTTAAATAGGCTCCCGTCACTAATAATGTATCTGCTAGCGATGGGGAGATTTGGTAGGACTAACACCGGCGTTGAGGGATGGAGGTCTTGCACAGCTCACCAAACAAATCTGGGAGGGGAGACAGCATCAGGGGTGCAAGAGGAGCACCCCAACCCTGCCGGATCCAGGGCAGCACATCCACTGCCCCCTTCTCGACTCCCACCCTGGCTTCGCAGGAGGGCAGAAACGGGGGGGGGGGGGGGCGCCGCGTGCTGGCGTGGGATGTGGAAGGGGGGGGGGGGGGGGGGGGAAGAAAGGAGCTGGACTCGGTCCATTTTTAACTCGCTCGATGTGTCTGGGATGTAGACAGATGCTGTTTAGACAGGCTGGTTCGGTGGGTGGCCGGGTGAGGAGACCATGGCTGTACAGTTTATAGAAGGCTCCCGGCATAAATGAACTGTTGAAGACCATTGGAAGCCTCAGTGAAATCACAACATGCAGAAACACGGGGGAGGGAGGGGAAAAAAAGGCTCTTTTTGAAAAGGCAGAGAGAGAAAGGGATGTTTTGATGGAGTTTGTGAAAATTACAATGAGGTGGGTTTCACTAAAGCCTGCATTCATTAGTCCCCTGAATCCCCCCAAATAAAGTAAACACTCCTATGTGGCGCTGAAAAAAAAAAAAAATTAGCAGATTTAAATAGTTTCCCTGCATCAAGGATAAGAAACAGACGTGGCTTTTCCCTGCTCCTGTCTAGTCTTGCTAGGTGGAAAGCTAATATTTGAGTTCATGCTTCAGTGGGGAACATTTGTATATTAAAAAAAAGCCATCCACACTGGTTTGCCCATTCGCCAGCCTGTGCGGGACCAAAAAAGGAGCTCATTTTGAGTTTCCTGGGTTTATTTAGAGGTAAGCCTAAGGTGACCTTTCACTCCCACACACACACCATTTGCCTAAAAATTGAACCATCCCATCCTCAAGTCCTGCGTCCTCAAAGCTCTGCAGTTTAATATGAAAAATTGCATCAAAACTCTTAAATTTTGAGGCTGATGGCATCTGGGATTGAAAAGAAAGTCACCGAGACTGAACTCCAGCCTGTACTCCCTGATGATGTAATAGCAATCTGCATAAGCTGCTTGTTAAACCACACAGACCACAAATCAAGTCATCATTTCGCTCGTACATGTCACTTCTCCATTTCAAGACGCGGGCCAAGGATTGGAAAAACTGCCCGGGATGTCCCAGATCCTCTCCCCTTTCCCTCCCCTGTTCTTAAAGAAAACGGACATCCTGCAACCTTGAAATTCAGGAAAGATCAGATAATTTTGCATGGATGCAAAACATCCATGCGAGCATTTTCCCTTCCCCACTGCAGGCTGGAGCTGGACATCAAACTGCTCAAAATCCCATGGGAAAGGAGCCTCCTGGTTTTATTCCTGAGCTGAGCAGCAAAAGGCAGAAAGTGCGGGGGCTCTGTGGAGCATCTGCTCTCCTTGAGCAGGAGCATCTGGATGCTCAACTGAGCCTAACCCCTCAACCCCAGCCTGGCGTTACAGTCGTAAAAGAGCTTTCCTTTTCCCCTGCATCCACCCCTTGCAGATGCCAACAGCACAGACCAGCTAATAAATTCCTTTAGGAAACCTTTTGATAGACTGAAGATGTTTTCTACACTTCCAAGGCAACCTCCTGCCTCCTCCAGTTGCCCATGACCTCCTGCTCCTGCCAAATGCCCCCGACTCGATGTGAGCGTCCGGGTGGGTGGCTGGGCTGTGCTGGGGGTAACAGTCAATGCAGGGCAGAGCAAGAAATGCCTGGATTGTAATGAGCCCAGGGAAAGAAGCCTGTGGAGATCAAACCAAGAGCCCAGCAGCAGCTTCGGTGCCCAGACTTGGTCTTGGTTGGCTGGGAGCAGAGGGCTTCTGGAGCTCTTTGTTTATGACTCTGCAGTGGGACAAAAATCCAAAAGATTAAACAAGTCTGATGTATAATATGTTAAACAAAATACATAAGTCACACATTTTAGTGGATTTCTCTGGCTTTATGACTTTTCCATCAGTGTGATAGGTGTAACGTTCAGAGAGAGACACTCCCAGTGTGGAGAGGAGAATTTGGAGGAGGCACAAAGAGCGATCCATAGGTCTAGATCCTGAGTGAGCTCTAGCAGAAACCCAGATGCTCATCTCACCAAAATGGACTGAAATGGCAGCACGCACAGCCTCCTGATGGTGGCTCCTAGACAAAAAGACAACAACAACAACAAAAAATCTGTCAAAAAATCTCTATGTGACAAGAATCCACAGCTAAACCACTGTCCACCCTGGAAGTGAAATGCTTCCAGGCCAGAAAAGCGGAGCTAAAATTAATCTTAAAATAATTTACTGTTCTGAACCAAGTCATGACAAATTTATCTCCAGAGTTTGGAGGATTTCTCTCTCTTTATTACCATTTCAAGTGTTATAATGAAAAATACAGGCATAAAAAATAAACCCCGCTACTTTATGTTTAAACCCATATGCCTCTCCATACCCTGGACTTTCTGGACCTTCAAAAGAATTCATTCGCTTCCCAAGGTCACAAAATAAAACTGTCCAGCTATTAAAAAATGTGCAGTCTCATACTAATTAGTGACTGATAAAGCAATGGAAACGGTATTTCTCCCAGCTTTGGCCAAACGAAACTGAGATTAGAACATTTGACAATAAAAACTCCTTTTTATAGTTAAAAAAAGAAGAAATCGGAGCATATTTCGTCTGGTAAAGGTCAGCTTACTTTATTTATGTGTGCCACTGAGTATCAGAAACTAGAATATTAAATGATATTAATGCTGAAGAGGTATCTTCATGCCCATACATTACGCACAGAAGCAACAGTTCAAACATGATCTCATTTAATTGTTCTTGTTTGAAATATCTCCAGCTCCCACCTTTCCCCCCCAAACAAACCCCGCTTCATCATCCTGGGACCAGTCCTGCTCCCATTTCTGCTAAGGGGAATATGCCCGTCCGCTCTGATCTCCATTGCCTCATTTAAATTGCTTGCAAGAAAAAACGAGGCATATCATCAGTGATTTTTCTTCTGTCTCGCCCCTGCTGCTGGTATGATAAGGAGAGTACTCTCCTTGCGGGCGACTCCACATTTAATTAGCTCCAGATGCAGCCTAATTAGTCAGTCTGCAGGGCGAGCATTGTTCTGTTGTCACTTGAGCCTTCCCTCACGGCGAAGTAAAAGGGATGAGATTGAACATGAAAACCAGATGCCATGTGTGTGCCTTGCTCTGGGCTGTCCATCGGAGGGATCCCCCTAATCTGGGGGTGAAGGATAATAAATGTTGTGTTTAAAAGCCACGGGCACGGACGGAGCTTCGCATGGTTCAAGTAAGACAGTAGCATGTGCCGAGCGAAGGGGTCATAGCTTAAAACAACTGATTCCCACTAATTCTCCTTTAGAGGAAGGACTGTGCATCCTCCAGCAGGACCCGTGCCGGGGTTTTGGTACAAATTGTTTTGACATCTCGCACAATTTTGCACAGCAGGCTTTCAGACTGTACCTTTCTTCACCAGATTAAGCCCTTAATGCCTCCGCAATACCATGGAGATACCTATAATTTTATTGCAGAGGTTTTCCATTCCTTTTTCTAATTTAAAAGGCAGGAGGTTTGCTTGCTGGATCGGCATTTCACGTCTGGAGTTAGGGATATGGTGAAATCAGCAGCATGCAGAAAAATCAGATAGGCAAAGGGGCTTACCATAATGCCATCTGACACACTCATAAACTTTACATGATTTGTACAAATCAGGAGTATGAAACTCTAGCAGCAGCCTCGTTTCTGCTCTTGGAGCAGAAAGGATGCAGGAGGGAAGGAATTTATGTCAGTGCGGTTATAAAATTTGCATTGTCTTAGACCATCGAATGAGCAAAGCTGGAAATGGTTACTTGAATCACTGCCAGGTCAGCATGTGGGTCTCTACCTGGTTTTATTTTTAATGTATCAGACTAAAATTAAGAAGAAAACAGTCTTGCTGGACGATAGGCGTTTCAGCACCAACCTTGACTCAGCATGGCCTTCTGCCAGTCCAAACGCTGCTAAAATGGGATGTTAGTACCACAAGAACAAGCAATTTCCCTATATTCTGGGGACACCTGTGGTATATAATCACAGGAAGAAACGATAGCTCCAACTCATGAAACTTGGGGGCTTTGTTCTGCCTTGACTCACATTTTGCAATATGCCCATGGACGTATGAATCGGAGTATTATGTAGGAGATACAGTCAAGGTGACTGACTCCAAAGTAGAAGCAGTATATGGATGAGTTATTGAAGAAGAGTGCCTGAATGAAGGTTGCTTGAGCTCAGAAGACCAGCTATGTGGTATGTGTTGCCTGTTTATTATGATTTTGGATGAGGAACTACCCTGACTCTCAGTAAATGACATGAAACCCCAAACTGCTTCACCAGAAACCTCATGCAAACATCACAACTGTGTTATCACCCCAGCTGGGGAAAAAGCTATTTCCGTAGAAACAATATTTAGTTTAATTGGAAGTCAAAATTGCTCAATGGACAAGTCCCGCAGCTCGAATGGGTACAGTTGCAGAACAAGGTCCTTTCATTTCTCAGATGTTTGGAAAGAAGGCCAATAAAATAAATAGGAAATGTTCCAGCTCCTCTCCACCCTCTCCTGTACCTGCTGACCATGCTGCTGAGCCGCCTCTTCAGACCCCACTGCTCCATCACACCCACCACTCACATCCTTCTGCCAGCACCATCCCTACGGACATGACAATGATCTCGGGGGAGTCCTCTACCACCATGGCTCCTCCTGTGCCGGGGCTGCCAATGAGAAGCGAGATCCGTGCGTTGCAACTGCCAACCCATTTCTGTAGACCTCGTGGACGTGGTTTTGCTATCCCCCGTCTGTCCCTCCTCTCTTGTTGGCAGCAGGCTTGGTGCAGGTAACTCAATCCCAAGCAGTGTTTTTAAGCATGATTACAGTTTTTGCATGCTTTCCGCATGCCTAATTACGGTGGAGCAGCGAGGCATCCAGGTATATGTTTCAGGTTTTTAATAGCTTAGCGTGGCAGAGGGATCACGTGCTCATTTTGCAGGGAGCTGAATGGAGATCGTCAGCCTCATTTGAGCACCGAGGAACTAAAGACAAAGCATCGTGTGGTCTTCAGCCCTCCTTCTCCATAGGAAGTCCATCTTGCGATTCAGCTGACCTCACCCAAAGGAAAAAGAAATTACAGAAAATGAGAGAGCTGTTATTTTTTCATAATTTTGGCTCCAGCCTTGCCAAGCACCCCAGCCTTCAAACCACAAATCTATTTAAGCCCCAAAATACCGCTGAAATCAATCAATGAGCGTCAGGCACCAAATCCTCTCTGTGGCTCCAGTCCTGGATGACTTCTTCTTCAATGCAACCAGGGGAGCTGGAAGAGACAGGCTGTTTAGGAGGTTCTTTGGGACGAAGGCTCTTATTTAGCAGCTTTGGAGAATCCTTTTGCACCTTTTTGAATTGAAATCACTCAATCATTAGCCATCTCCTTGGGTCCGGAGACACCCTCCCTGCTTCAAAGCCACCCACTCACAGCACAGAACAAGACATGGAGAGAAGAAGGTTGGTTCTCCCCCAGCTGAGACCTGCATCCTTATGATACCAGGTTTTTCCATTTTAATACATTTCCAAATTTCTTCTCATCAGATTCTGCAATGAATTCACCAGACAAAACAAAGAGAGTGCAAAATCACTTTCATAAAGTCTGGAAAAAATAACCCATTGAACCTCTATAGTACATCAGGTTAAGGAAGAGACATCTGGCTTTTATTATGTTTTATAAGGTTGATAGCAAATAAGGGTATTAGAGTTAATTTACTTATTTAGAGAGAATCGACTCAATCACAGAAGCCGTGATTGTGACTGCATGTTAAGAGAGCTCCAAAACTCTCTCCAATCTCCTCCAGGAGTGAAACAGTGCCAATGGTAAAGCAACATTTATTTTCCACAGAGGTATTCCCAAAGGGATGCAAAGATTAGAGTAAAAACACCAAGAATAAGTCCTTCCCAGACAGCCTGGCTGCGTAGGAAGACATACCAAAGCATTATTTAGTGGCGTAGGTGTAACTGGAGGCTGAGAACAAGACTCAGTTGTGGTAGTGCCATAATTTATGCAAATGGAGATATCCTGCCAAAGAGGTTGAGATGTTAACAGGTGAGACAGAGGACCAAGGGAAGAGAGACCATTTATTTGAAGGAATTATAGACTGAGAGATGTTGCTTGGAAGGGGCCTCTGGGGGTCTCTAGTCCAAAGCCAAACTATCACCTGCATGAGGTCACGTCCATCTCTGAGGACAGGGCTTTCTTGATCTCTCAGGGACCTGTTCCAGGGCTGCATCACCCTCCTGATGAAGAATTTGTTTCTAAAGCCCATCCTGAAACAGCGGCCACTGTTCTTTGTGATTCTGCCATTTCCAAGCAGAGCTTGTTTCCATCATCTTTGTAACTCCTCTTCAAGCTGCTGTAGGCTAACAGCAAACCTGCTCACCTCTTTTACATGCATCTGAAAATGTTCAGCATCCCAAGCTCTCCTTGCAAGCCACGCAAGCCCCAAGTACCTGGTCACGTTGGGAGAGCTGTGCTGGATCCTCTCCAGGTTATCAACATCCCACTTGAAATGGGGGGCCCAACGTTGGACAAAACTTCAAGATGTTACAAGTGTCTGCAGTGGCTTCCTATGCCACCTGGCCTCCAGTTCCCCCCAGACTGAAAGAGCAAGGATAAAGGAAAACCACGCCAAGCATACAAAGCAACTCCCTTAATTCATGGAGCAGACCCCTTTCAGAGATGCTCTCAGGCATGCAAGGCAGAGCATGCATAAAGCGAGTTCCCAGGGACCAAGCTGTTACCTCTTGCCCACGACTGGATGTCCTCACCAGCCTGGCACTGACAAACCATGATCACCAAAGGCTTGATGAACCAGACATTGTTGCTTTCCATTCTGGAATGGTCCTTCTGGAGAATTTTGAAGCCTTAAGAGGAGTCAGATTTGCATTACATTAGAGCATCAGAGTTCACTTTTTTTTTCCCTTTCTCTTTACTTTTGGGTCAGTGTTATCATTTGCAGTGAAAAATGGGTGATGGAAAAGTGTAGTTCTCCCTCCTAAACCCATGGACAGGTGACTGCAGAGGCCAAAATGTCCTGCAAAGGGAATGCTGCCCTGGAGAATAGGAGGGTTTAGAGGAAGGCACAAGCTTTTGAGAAACACCTGCAATAAGGCAAGCAAAGGGGAAAAAGATCATTTGAATATTCTGCCTAAGCTGTTCCCTTCTTTCAGAGCTTGCCTACACAATTTAAAAAACAACTCAGAGGTGATGCACTGATTTATCCAAAGCAGGACAACAGCTCCAAACCTTTCAGTGCCAGTCTGACATTTGCGGGTTTTCCTCGCCCTAGTTAAATACCTGCTTGTTTTTGTTAACCCTCATCACTTCCACCACTTCTGGACACTGCCACGCTCCTGGGCTGTGGTGGAGGATTTCATCAGCCGTCCCCATCTCAGCCGCCCTGGGCCTCCTCCTCCGGCAGCAAGGAGCATCAGTGGTTTCATGAAGGCTGCCATGGCTTTGGAAACACAAAGAGTACCCCCCAGCTGCGGCCAAGAACAGAGACGGGATATTTACAGAGATATCAAGTACATCCAAAGGCGCTCTCATAAACAGAGATGATTTTGGAGGGGATAGCCAACCTTCTGCTTTGGACTGAGGCCAACCTCCAGTGACACACGCCCCCCCTTTTTCCTGTGCTCTCTGTCTTCACTGGGGCTTGCCGGGCACTGCACTACTCCTGCTCTGGGTTTTGCACATTATTTTGCTCCCTGCCTTTGGCCTTTTTGGAGGTCTGCTGCCTCCGGATGGGTTCACAGGGCACATGCCTCCATCAACTGCAGCCAATAGCCTGGGAGGAGGCTGGTCTCTGCTACCAGCACATGAATCACTCCCCACGAGCGCGTCAAGCCGTGCCGTGTGGTTTGGTGAGGATTGCGAGGCGGGATTGCACGCTCCCCAGAATGATAGCATTTCAATTACATAACTCATTACTATTTGTTCAGGGCCAGCTGCAGAATGGACAAAAATAAAGACATCTTCTCCGGAGAGGCTTCTCAGCCTAAAAAGAGCTAAGCTGCATGCTCCAAGGGCGCAGAAAGGCAGCAATGATTTCTTTCGGTGTTAGGAGTTAGCAAATCACTGACACTGTCAACCCAGCATAAAAAGAAAACTCCACAATCTTTAAGGATATCCACGTGGGAAGCAATCCACCCTCAATAGCCTCCAGGCTCTTGGCAGAGGCAGGCTTACCCTGGGATGCTGGAGCACGCGTGCGGGCATCCTTACTGGGAAATGCCCCCGACGGAACTAGCACCTGGTGAGCCCATCAGCATGGGCTTGCATTTCTCTGTCTCGCTTATCCTACAAAACCCAGGTCTTGTTCTACCCGCAGAAGGGGTCTGAGAGTATTACAAGGGAGGGAGCGCCGGGAAGATGTGAGCTGCAGTGGAAATCTGGTTCTCTTGGGGGTGGTTACATCCCTAACGGCACCTGATAGCTCCAAGGAAGCTTTCAAGTGCCCTTTCAGCACACCTCCTCTCGACGGACACATCCATCCCAGGCCACTCTGTCATCAGGTCTCTCTTCTGTTAGTTTAAATGCAGTGGGAATTTTTTTTCCCCTTTTAAGAAAGCAATAAATATTTTTTATCTCATTTTTGAGCAACGCACCTGAGATTTCCAGAACATTGCTTGTAGATATCATTTCTAGGGATTTTTTTTTTTTTTTTCCTTTTAGTTTTCCGTTTTACTTTTGGTGGAAAAAAAATTGCTGCTGCCACCAGCTGGAGCTTTTTGGAAATAGCACTAAAAAGTTTTCTTGCATCCCACAGGGCACACTCGCAGCCACTCATGCTTTTATTCCTGCTCATTGTAGTTAGCCGAAGGCAAATTTAAACAGCTTGCTTCTTGGAGGCACAGAACAAAATTATATGAGATCTGATTGTTTTTGCTTGAGCTGGGTCCTTCAGTGCCAGTAACTTAGCCAGATGTTAAATCAAATCCATTCTCAGCCATAATTTCAGTTAAAACAGGAGCTGTGAGCAAGGGGAAGTTTAGAGAGTCAAAAGTGGCCTGAGGAATTTGCTCCTATCCATAATTTTAAAAAAATCTCAAACCTGGAGGAATAGGTTAAATAAAATGCAAGGTTGTCTCTTCCATGATTAATGTATTGATTGAAAGGGAAGAGCTGTGAATTTGAGAACGATCAGCAATATAGCTGGGGATGACAGAGACTGAAACTGCTTTTCATGGAGCTGAGCAAGAGGTTTCTGGGTTTTAAAGTCTTGCTTCTAGCCGCAGCCCGCAATGCTCCTGAAAAACCCGATCCAGCAAAAAAAACAAGTTTTCCCCTAACTCAGTGAATCTCACTTGGATTTTCTACAATGGATTTACAACACCAATAACCAAGGAGCAGTGCTGGAAGAGGCAAGTCAGCCCCTAAAACACAACCCAACCTCCAGGCGAGGTGATTTATGCTCGGAGAGGCTGAGCTTTCAGATGGGTTCTTGGCTAGTTTGCAGTAATGCCACTCAAAGATAATTTTTGATTTAATCCATGCCACATGAGGCAGTGGCGGTGCTGACCCTTGGCTTTTAACCCCAAGACCTTCGCTGTTCTGGCTAAAGGAACTACTGTCTGTCCTCTGATAACCCCCCTGACATAACTCAGCTGGGTTTAATATCTCCTGCTGGTGTTTATTGATAAAGA